GGGGAAAAAACCAAAAGGTCACTAAAGACAGGAAAGAAATAAAAGATCAGTGTGGATGTCAGAAGAGTCTCCAAAACTTGCTCTTAATCTTAGAGTACCAAAGGCAAAGGGTAAAATTATGAAGTCAAAGACCTGAACAGAACATTTCAAAGGGAAACTCTAAAAGACAAGGTATTATAATCAAATGTGCAAAAACCTAGAGTTAGAAAACCCAAAAGGAGGCTTTCGGTTTTGGCATATCTTTTAAAAAAAGAAAGAAAAAAGAAAAAATTCAAGCTTTGAGTTGCATTATTGAAAGATTCAGTGGGCAAAATATTAAACGATGCAGGAAGTATCAAAAGAAGATGTAGAGAATATGCAGAGTCACTGTACCAAAAATAAGTGGTGGACATCCCACCATTTGGGGAGGTAGCAATGTGGATAATTTCTAATGATACTGAAGGAAGAGGTTCAAGCTGCACTGAAAGCATTGGCTAGAAACAAGGAATTGAATGCATACCAACTGAATGCTTCAATGAGTTATGAAGCACTCACGTGTCTGTGCCAGGAAGCGTGGAAAACAGATGCTTGTCCAACTGACTGAAAGAAATTCATATTTGTACCTGCTTCAAAGAAAGGTGACTCAGGAGAATGCTCAAATTATAGAACAATATCATTAATATCACATGCAAGTAAAATTTTGCCGGATACAATCCAACAGTGGCTGCAGCAGTATACTGACAGGGAGCTGCAGGATGTTCAGGCTGGATCTAAAAGAGGATAATGTGGAACACAGATAACAACGTCGATGTCAGATGGATCTTGGTTGAAAGCAGAAAATACCAGCTAGATGTTTACGTGTATTTTATTGACTATCCCAAGGCATTTGCCCGTGTGACTGATAGTCAACTACAGATATTGTTGGAGATAATGGGAATTTCAGAACATTGTATTGTGCTCATGTGAAACCTGTTCATGGATCTAGAGATAGCTATGTGAACAGAAAAAGGGAATGATAGAGCATGATTTATAATCAGGAAAGGTGTATATCAGAGTTGTATCCTCTCACCATACTTATTCAATCTGTATGCTCAACCAATAATCAAAGAAACTGGCATATATGAAGAAGAACAAGGCATCAGGATTGGAAGAAAGTTTAACAACCTGTGATATGCAGATGATACAACCTTGCTTGCTGAAAATGAGGAGAATTTGAAGCACTTGCTGATGGTCGACTGTAGCCTTCAGTATGCATTACAACTCAATGTAAAGAAAATCATATCCTCACAACTGGGCAATAGGTAATATCATAATAAAATGAGACAAGATTGAAATTGACAAATGTTTCTTCTCGCTTGGATCCACAATCAATGTTCAGGGAAGCAGCAATCAAGAGATCAAATGAGGCATTGCATTGGGTAAATCTTTAAAGTGCTGAAAAAGAAGTATGCTTTTTAGAGGTAAGAACGGTGAGACTTTGTCTCATTTATTCTGGACATGTTAGGAAATAATGGTCCCTATAGAAGGGCATCATGCTTGGTAAAGTAGAGGGGCAGTGCATAAAGAGGAAGGCTTTAACAAAGTGGTCGTAGGAATGAGCTCAAATAGACCAAGTGTAAGGATGGTGCAGGACTGGTCAATGTTGTCAGATGAATCTTGGTTGAAGGCAAAGAATACTGGAAAGTCGGTTGTTCTATGATCGTTCATAAGAGATCATCAGCTATTTTTTGATGTGCCCCTAGATGAAATCAGGAAGCCAGCCTTTGAGTCAGTTGTCAAGTACTTAAATATTTGTGCCATTTAGAGACTATGTGTGATTACCAGGATGATAAAAACAAATATTGTTTATTCTAAGATCACATTTATTATTCAATTACTTGAATTATATTTTTAAAAATTTTCCAAGGTAAGTTAACACTTCATAAACATTGGTTTACAAGGAAGTTTGTCAACTACATTACAGACTGTATCATAGAATATATTCCCCTAGATAATATGTAAGATTTCGTTGATACTGTGCAAACCAAGAGTTAAAATTAGGAGCAATGTAACTATGTACTTAGATATGTGAATGAGTGAGAATATTATTTAGCAACTAACTCTCATACTAATATTAAAAGATCAATCGCACACCCTAAACTTACTTGTATTCATTTTATCAATCTGTTTGCATGAAGATGCTCAGGTTTAATGTATTCCTCCTGTACTTTGAGAGGTACCTCAATGACCCTCTATTTTAAATGCACAAACTTTTCCAACACGGAGAACAAGGAGATGAGGGAAGTGCTGAGGCAAACTAGGCTTGCATAAGAAAAGCACCAAGCATATGACATACCTACTTATAGCATTTGAAGAGTCAATCAAGATACTAACATATTTTTAAACTTAATTCATTACCATAAGGCAAGTGAGAGTTTTGTAATGTGTCTCAATATAAAGTGTTCATATCATGATTTGTAGTGGAGACCAATATATGATTTTGTTTGTTTAGTCTATGTATACAAGGGCAAAATGAAAATACCCACTGACATCAAATCGAAAGAGTCAATAGCAACCCCTTATATGGTTTCCAAGGCTGTAAATCTTTAAAAAAAAGTTTTAAGGCTGTAAATCTTACAGGAGCAGAGAGCCTCATCTTTTCCCCTCTGAGTGTCTGGTGGGTTTGAACTGCTGCCTTTGTTGCAGATAGCAACCCAGTGCTTAACCTCTGAAGAATAGGCTAAAAAGCTTAAATATTAAACAATCCATGTTTATTTACAGTACTTTGGGCCCTCCAGAGAATAGGTAGTTAAGTTTCTACGTTCTGGCTAACATTAAAAGTCATCTCAGAAGTAAGTAAAGCTTTTAAAGTAAAGCTTTAAAAGACTTAGGGGATTGTAAGGACTCTTACCTGTTTTGGTAATCTTCTTCTTTAGACTCTGTTTTTGTATTTATTTCTAATAAAATACCCTGGCTAAGGTTTAATATAATTTTATCCAGTTTTAATAAATAAAATATGTGGTTAGATTTCTAGTTAAAATAAATCTGAAACACTGAGATAAATCTTATCCTCACCCCCTTATAAGTTGTAGGACAGGGGGAATAATAAACCCTTGTATTTCTGCAGCATAAAAATATTAAATACAATTTTTGTATTAAAAATATTTTAGTGTATGTTTATTTAGTTAGGTTATGACCAACCCAGTAGGTACATTTTAATCTCTTTTGGTTAACTTTGCATTTGTCAGATGATAGAAAAAAGACATAATAAAGAAACATTAGCCTGCTTCACTCCCATTACTAAAGATAAACAGAGATAATAAATATAAAAAATGTTAAAAATTAATAAAGCAGTTACATACAAAGTTGTAAAATAAGTAATAATGCATCCACTATTTTGTTCTTTATTCCTTGAAATTCCACTGCAATGCCTTTAACCATTCCCATAGGATGTACTTCCCTTATATTTAAAATTTTTCTGTGTGAATAATTTGTATTTTAAATATATATTAAAGCAACTAGTAAAAACAAAGTTAGTTATAATGCTTCATAATGTTTCCTGAAAGGTAAAGCAACATAATTACACCCAGTTCTTACAATATCTCTTATTTTTATTCCTCAATATTCCATTTCCTTTAAAAAAATAGATAAGATTATTATTTTGTGAGTTTTAAGACAACAAAGGCTATGTATACTTCTTTACTTCAACACCATTTCTTTTAAGTCTTTTCATGTTTAGTCATAAAGTTAAATTTTTTTCCCTCAAAGGATTTTTGATGTTTCCCCTATTGACCGTTATATGGTGTATAATAGAGACATTTTGTAGTTTAAAGTACTTTATTTATTAGTAAATATCCCTATACTTATCACTGCTGACAGGTAATAGGAGTGGGCTTCCTGAAATCTCTGATGAATAGGTGATGAATCAATACAAGGTCATTTCAAAATTTTAGCAACTGTTGAGCATATCAATCAATAGAGTAGCACACACACACACACGTTTTGTCCTAAATTCCAATAAAGGTTTAGTTTTAGTCATTTTACCAAATGAGCTAATTGAAGTTGCTGGCCATTTCTTTCTTGGAAGAATTAATTGTGTGAATAATTGCAGTGTGCAGTTCCACATTTTTTATGTATTTCCAATCATTTAATCTTTCTTAAATGTTCTGGGGTTTTGAGGAAACACAGTTACAGATAAATGAAGCAACTTGCTCACTGCATTCTGAGAGCTGACAGACGCAGGGACACCAATGCTTAAACACCAAAGTTTTCATGGGAAACAAACCATTAAAGGATTCTTTAGTTTGCAATAGTTAATTAAAAGGAAAACATTACATTGACTTCCACTTAAGATTAGTTTCTCAAAAGCAGTTAAAATTCTCATTTATTAAGGTGATTCTATATATACAGCAATATTAAAGACAGCTGTTCCAATACATTTTTCTCCTCTATCTCTGTCTCCACTAAGCCCACGTTTTGTTTTTCATTTAGCAATTTCTTCTTAATTTGTTTTGAGTTCTTATGAGGTCTATATTAATAACACAAGATGGCTTAATTTAAGCTGCAGTCTCTTGCTGATGTTTTGACATTTTCTACAAAAACTTTCCTAAAAACACCTACTTGAAATTACTAATTAGTTTTCTTTACTAGAAATAGAATAAAAGACAGGTTCATTTGTTTGGCTTTGGCATCACAGGACACATTGAGTACTCAGAGCATGACTCTTTATATGAATAGTCTCTAACACTTCTCGGAAATCTGTGTAAATAGGATAAAGGTTAGCTAGTGACATTTGTAAGTACAATATATTAAGGACATACAATTACGTATGCTATATATAGAAACATATGACATGGGATTTAATACACTTAATTTTTTCTAAATGTTTGCCAGCAGTTTTTCCAGTGATTCCAATTTCTTTTAGTAAAAAATGGTCTCATTCCTATGTAAACTATAGAAATCATTTGATTTATGAGGCAATTAGAGAGGTTTTTTAAACACTTATTATGGCTCACAGGCATATATCATAAATAGATACATACCTGTTTTATTTGAAAGTCTAAAAGACACCATCTTATCAGGAATATTACACACATTCCTCACTGAAGCAATGCAGCTGTAATTAGCATAGTCCTGAGGTCGGAGGTTCTTTAGTTTTAAGATCTTCGTTTCACCCTGAAAATGTAGAAAAGGTCATTTAAAAATAGAAAAAATAACTAGGATTAATGTATGAATTGAGATATTATGTTATTATCATACATGGCAGATTGCTTTAATTTTTAAGAAAAATATCTTAAATCCTCCCAAAATGACATTTTTAAGAAATGCTATAATGTGCTTAGAGATAAAATATTTAAGACAATATTTAACAGAGTATAATGAAAATTCAGAATGTTTTGTTTGCAGACTAGCTTTCTAGGGAGAAAAAAAATATTTTTGATGGTATGCTAATTGCTATGCAATGATCAGAAAAGCATACTTAAGAATGGAGTTTATGCAAGAAGCACTGCAATCTACTTCAATACGTAATGGTATTAAAAAAACCCAACATTTTACAGAACCAACCTATTAATGAACAGGATTGGTAGAATATATATAATGAAGTAAATCTAATGATAGACAATTAAATTTAAATACATGGAGTGTGTACATATAAAGCAACGATAGATGCCTGATCTAAAATGGAGTGACAGAAGCATTAATGACTTCTTTATGTTATTAATATGCCTGTTCTTTTATGCCCAATCATTCAAGGTCAAGGTCTCTCAGGTAAACATACAAATTTGCAGTTAGGACCACATTAGGGAAATGACTAGAATAGTTACATTTTTTTTAAGCCAGACACCATGGAAAACCATTAGATCCAAATTGTTCAGAGTAAAAACAAGAAAAAAAAATCAATGATAAAAGATGACAACAAGAAAAAAAAATCTTGCTCCTCAATTCAAAGCAGTTCCCTGGGGTTTCTTTATCTTCTGAAGTCATTGACGCATCTTCTGAAAATAGTTAAATCCCTTCATGATGGTGATGGTAAAATCAATGTCTTGATGTCTACTATTTGGTATAACAGTTTAAAGAATTCCCTCCACCTCTCCACTCCCCAAATTTAGAACAATGTGAAGCCTTTCTTTCTTTTTTTAGATCATTTTATTGGGGGCTCTTACAACTCTTGTTACTATCCATACATCAATTGTATCTGACATATTAGTCCATATATTCCATCATTCTTTTCTAGACATTTACTTTACATTGAGCCCTTGGGATCAGCTCCTCTTTTTTCTTCCCCCACCACAACCCTTGTTGCCAGATTATAGATTATTAATTATTTTCAAATCTCACATTGACTGCCATCTCCCTTCCCCTCAGGTTTCTGTTGTTCTTCCCCCTGGATGGGGATGTGTGGTTATGTGCCATTCATTGTGATTGATAGGCCCCTTTCTTCCCAGCTCTCTCCCCCTTCTCCGTACTCTTTTGGTATCTCTATTCCATTCCTGTTCCTGGGTTCCATGTGTCGTGAGTTTTATCTCTCGACATACCTATACCTATAGACATGCGCCAATATAGTCTAGAGTGGGAAGCGGCACTGGGGTCATGATAATGGGGGGTGAGGAGGCCTCAAGGGATATAGGTATATTGCATGATCCATTGGTGCTCTACTGCACCCTGATTGACTCATCCCTCCCTGTGACCCCTCTGTGGGGGGATGTTCCATTGTCCAAAGAGAGCCTTTCTTAATGCTAATGCTTAAGAATGTGGCTGCTCGTCTGACGGTCTGGTTTGAACTCAGAGGAACTCTATGGGAGAAAGACCTGCTGCTCTATTCCAGTACAGATGACAATCTGTAAAGATCTATGGAGCATTCCTACTCTGTCATATGGGGTAGTTATTAGTTAAAATTAACTTGAATCTTCGCAATGACTACATTAATGTAAATTGCAATAGTTTCATACAGTATGCAGAAAAGTTAAGATACTTGTCACTGATATTAAGATAATTTTGATTCACAGCAACACAATAAAACAGAATAGAAGTGCCCTTGTGGGTTTCTGCGACTAAATATTTACAGAAATAGAAAGTCTCATTTTTTTCTTGCTGAACAGCTAATAAGTTTGAACTGCTCACCTTGTGATTATCACTTCAGGGGAGATGCCACTACACCACCAGTCTCCTTTAAGCTACTCAACTACATAATATACACAATCGCTGCCCAGACATAAGTATATTGCTTTTGCATTTATATTACCATGCACTTAATCAAAATAAATGTGTCAATGTTTCCCTAATTCAAATTATTTTTCTTCACTGTCAAATTTCAGTCTAAAATCCGTCACATCTTTAGCATTTTCCTCGACAGGATAAACAAACACTTTGCCCTTTATATCTTTGGATTTTGCAAAGCCATTTTATTTACACAAACAAATGATAATAGACCCTCATAGATTTATACTATCTCTATGTAATTCTAAAACTTAATATTTAAGACATATTTTCAATGCATTTTAAAATTATTAAACATAGTAGGATACCTATATTCTTTGTATAGAATACCTAGCAAAGCTTGATAATTTAGAAATTACAAAATGAAAAAAAATTAGAACCGATTGACAAATATGTATATTTTAGATTATCCCTCTGAGTACATGTTTTCATTCATATTCCTTTGCTTTTTTTCCTCCTTTTGAAAAGTTTTATTGGCATGTAATTCACATACCATACAATTCTATAGTTCAATCACATCAAGAGTTGTGCAAACCTTAATCAAACTTCATTTTTGTACTTATTGCTATTAGCTCCTCATTTCCCTCCGTTTTCCCCTACCATGCTCTCAAGAATATATTAATCCAATTACTATCTCTATAGATTTAGCTATCCTGGACTTCATAAACACAAAAAAAAACATTAAAAAAACTAACAACAATACAAAAGTAAAAACCTCAATTGAAAAGAAAGCAGAAAATATTAAACACTGGAACAAATTTAAATGGATCATAATGGGGATCAAATAATAGGGTGTTAAAATTTAACCTTATCATTTAATTAGTGTCAAACCTTGAGATTCGGTTTCACCCACAATGCAACTTTATATAATTTCTTGGTGTGATCTTATTCCTGCTAATGAATTTGTACTAACATTCTATTTGCTAGCCTCTATCTCTACATCCTTAACCTCTAATTTTTTCCCTTAAGTATCAGATGCCTATACTAGATTTTCACTTCCATTTTGGTCTCTCACAGATACTCAATACTTAGCATGTCCTAAATCAAAATTCAAATTATGATTCTACATCTAAAGTTCCTTCTTTAATAACAGGAATCTTCAACTTCCCACATAGCTCCTCATTCATCAAAACCCAATCACCTCGATCTTGTTGCTGCTGTTAGTGTTGGTGGTTACCATTGAGTTGGTTGTGATTCATGGGACCCTAAATAAAGCAGAACAAAACATCACTTGGTCCTGGACCATCGTAACAATTCTTATATTTGAGCCCATTGTTGCAGCCACTGTGTCAATCTATCCCCTGGAGGGACCTCCTCTGTTTTATTGCCTCTCTACGTGACCAAGGACCATGTCCTTCTGCAGACTGCTTTCTCCTGACAAGACGTCCAAAGTAAGGGAGACGGTCCTTCCTTCTAAGAGGCATATGGCTGTGCTCTTCACCGTCAAGGACACTTACAGTATGTATCTTTGCCAGCCCCGTAACTCAAATGCAGGGATTCTTTTGTGTTCCACCTTATTCAATGTCCAAATTCCACAAGCATACGAAGCAACAGAAAATATTACAACGTAGTTGAAGTTCATGTTAGCCCTCAAAGTGGCACCCTTACTCTTCACCCTCAGTCTAAAGGGATCTTGTGCAGCAGATTGCAAGCAGCACTTTAAAGAAACCTTGTGCAGTCATCTGATCTCTTGACCGCTGCTTCTTCTCAATGTTCTCCATAGTTGGTTATGAGCCACAAAGTTGAATGTCTTTGCATAATCGATCAAACATATGTAAACATCTTGGTCCTTTTATAGATCCTTTTTATAGGTCTTTTATAGATCATTTTATTGACTATAAATATATTCAACCAATCAATTTTTTAAGCAATGATTTCAACCCTGCATCCTGCTGAAAAAATTCTGATTAGGCTTAGTAATTTTAATGATATAAACAAACAAATCAATACATAATATAAGCAGAGACGTTTTATGATATATAATTTGAAAATTCCATCTTGCATAAATCATATAAATTTCTATTATCGTTACAAATAAAGAGAAAATTATTAAGATAGCTGTCAACCCTATGATCTATATTTTTCTTGACACCCCAGTCCTAGACATTATGCACAAGGCTGGTTCCTCATTTCGCTATTCCTAATCAATACAATCCAATTCTTTGGTTTGCAACATTTCTTGTCTTATAAGCCTTTCCTTACTTTCTAAAGTAAGAGGAATCCTAATTCTGTGAAATCTGTTTGTGCATCTTCAAACAGTTTAACAATTATCATTATTTTGATAATGATTTGTTTTTGCAAGACTTTTCCCCTTACCAACAACCATAGAAAGGGTAGAATTTTTATCCACACTGCTGCCAATATTATATTTCAAAGATTAAGCACAGAACCTAGCACCACAGAGGCTTGCTTTAATAATACTTTTTTTCATTAAAGGTAGTATAGATACTTTTCTTCCCCTATCCAGGGCTTTACTTGATTCATATTTATTTCTACAGAAGTTATTACCTGTTAGGCACTTGCTATGAACTCAATAGATGTTATATAAATGAAATGTAACCAAAGAGCATATGCACTTAGAGAAAATTGTGCAACTATAATTCAGATACTCAATAGATAATTTATGTACATAATAAAAAAGATCTATTTATTTCATAATAATTTATCCAGATGCTACTTTTGGTGTTAGTAAATTTTCACTGAAGGCAAATGTCAGAATGAGGCAATAATTGAGTCTGAGAATAAGAAGTAAAATATAAATCAAAATGTACAGAAATCTAGATGCACATGATATACATATAAGTCACCAAGTCACTAAGCAGCCTTTGTTTTTTTAAAGTTGGTATTGAATAGATTTCAACTTATGGCAACCTCACTTACAGAGCAGAAATGTGTTCCACAGAGTTTCCAACTTCTGATTTTTCTAAAGTAGATTATCGGGCATTTTATTGAAGATG